AATTTGAGCAGGACCTTCTTAGTTTAGGCCCCTTACTGACACCAGGACAACTCAAATAGCTTCCACTGGGTTGAGATCTTGGTGCTTGCTAACCTACTTAATCCTCCTTCTCCTCTTTTTCTTCTTCTCTACTCCACAAACTCCACTCCCTTCTAGTACTGATGATGTTCCCTAGCTGGGTCATGAAATGTCTGCAAGGAAAGTACCAAGCTCAGAGAGCACCAAGGACCCCACAGTCCTCCTCCTCCTCCTCTTCCCTCCCTCCCTCCCTCCCTCTCCTCCTCCCATTCTTCTCCACTCCCTTCTAGTACTGATGATGTTCCCTAGCTGGCTCATGAAATGTCTGCAAAAAAACCCACCAAGCTCAGAGAGCACCAAGGACCGCACAGTGCTTTCTAATCTCATGGAACTCAATTTGAGCAGGACCTTCTTAGTTTAGGCCCCTTACTGACACCAGGAGAACTCAAATAGCTTCCACTGGGTCGAGATCTTGGTGCTTGCTAACCTACTTAATCCTCCTCCTCCTCCTCTTTTTCTTCTTCTCCACTCCACAAACTCCACTCCCTTGATGATGTTCCCTAGCTGGCTCATGAAATGTCTGCAAGAAAACCACCCAGCTCCGAGAGCATCAAGGATCCCTCAGTTCAGCCCAAAGCTACAAATAAATATTCTCTTCCGACGATTAGATAGTCCTCTCTGGGGTTTTATACAGGGTTCTAGAGAAGGACTAATTGAAAAGAAGTTCTAGATTTTCTAGTCTGTTGAAAATTAAGAGCCCATTTGCACTCTTCATCTAAACACATTTGATTAAAAAGCAGAGATGACTAAAAACATCAAGCAAACCCACAAATTCAGGGCTTTTGAGTTGCTTGATTATGAAGCACCAAAGATTTCCCTTGATTAAAAAAAATACTCATTTTTAGTTTTTTTAGACTCTACACTCTCCGCGACAAAGGCAAGAGTAGAAAACCTTCCACACTGGAGGTTTTCAAAGAAAGACTAGTTCACCATTTGTCTGAAATGGTATTGGGTTTCCTGCTTTAGCAGGGGGCTGGACTAGAAGACCTCCCAGGTCCCTTCCAACTCTGTTATTCTGTTGTTGATAAAATCATGTCCCCCAGCTCAAAAAACCAGAACTAAATTATGGACTCTCTAGACTAGCAATTATTTTTCTCTCCGTTAAAATCCGGAGAGTTATCTTAGCGATCGTATGTCGCTATGGAGCAGAGAAGAGAAAAACTGAGTATAAAAACAAGGAAGGCTTCTTTTCGATAAATGATACAACCTCGACGGAAACATTTTTGGCCACCTGGAAACAACAAACCAACACAATCAGCACTTTCAATGCCTTCGAGTTTGTTGCAACGGAATTGTTGCAACGGAAGGATGAGAGGTCAGAAATTTGTGTGTGTCAGAACATGGTTGGAGATTAATCTCTTCGACAGCTTTGATAAACGAACTAAAAAAAAAAATGTCATGAAAATAGAGATTGTGGCAGCCATGAGTCTTGGAAAGCTTATCTGGAGTGGAAAAGTTGATTTGGCATTATGTGGTTGTTGTTGTTTTGGTACAGTAATGAAATGACATCCTAATGAAATAACTGCTTTTGGAAGTATCGATGGGTAGAAATGGGAGTTTTCCATAACATGAGGCCAAAAAATGTCTATGAAGATTCTTCGTTATCCAGGTTTTTTTCTTGAAGAACTTTTTTCTTAAGAAAGAAGTTTTTTCTTGAGAAGAGAAACATTTTCTTCTTCCTCAAGAAAAAAATAACCCTGCTTTTTTTTTTAAAAAAGCATCTTTGAAATGGGGGCAAAAGAAACTCATTGTCAAATGCTCCCAAAGCTGGACAGTCCTGTAATTAATATAATTCTGGAGGAACAAACTGTAAAAAATAAAAATTGCAGAGAAAATAGGAGAGGGAATGAATGAACGAACGAATGAAGGAACAAATCAATCAATCTATCAATGATTGATTTACTCTGCCAATGACCAGAAAAGACAAAGATCAAAACGAGAGTGAAACAAATAAATACAATAATATAGTAACAAGTAGTAGAAAATATAACCTTCACTCCTTTGTTATCGCATTAACACAGTTGTTACCCAGGTGATAAATCTAAAATATTAATAAGCATGTTAAAAAAAACTTATATATCCCTTACAAGCTATTAGTTAAGATATATCAAACCAAAAGTAATATTTAAAACAAGTGTAAATATATCCTTAACCTATTAAATCTTGCTTTTGTCGCAGCAGCAAAAAGATTAATGTGTATTGGGTATGAGTGCCACCTTACTTACAACAATAAGAGAGGCAGGAAATGCATAAATAAATAAATAAAATACAAACTCACCATCACTATTTAAGTCTTTAGGCCCATTTCCTATGAGACAGGGAAGTGTTAATTCAGAGTTTAATTCAGGGTTTAATCCAGGGTTAATTCAGGATTTAGGCTTTACCATGCAATCCTGCAGCTTTCAACCAACCAACAACTAAACACAGTGTGAAAAAAATCATCTATGTTATCAAAATGGTTCATGACAAAAATCTGGGACTCGTGCTTTGAGCGTCGTAGATTTTCTCACGTGAACAAATGTTATCTTTAGATTTCTATCAAGGAGAGAAGCGACTTAAAACTAAGGAGAAATTTCCCGACAGCTAGAACAATTAATCAGTGGAACTCCTTGCCTCCAGAAGTTGTGGATGCTCCAACACTGGAGGTTTTTAAGAAGACATTTGTAGGGTTTCCTGCCTAAGCAGGGGGTTGGACTAGAAGACCTCCAAGGTCCCTTCCAACTCTGTTATTCTATTCTATTTGCCTGTGTATTTATAACATTTTTTTGTCTTTTTAACAAAATGTCCCCTGCTCCTTCCAGATACTAGAATCCAAAGTTCTCTGATAGAGAGCGATTCTGTTGCTTCTATGTCCAACTTGAGTGCTTTTCATGGTCATTCTTTTTGAAGATGAATGTTGTCTGTAATTATTTCTGATTCTGGTTTAAACCAGGAGAGAATTATCACAGGGTGAAGTTAGTCTTAATGCTTTAGAACTCCAGAATGGTTAATATGACTCCCAAGAGTTGATGGACATGCTTCTGTTCTTGTTGTTGTTGTTGTTGTTGTTATTATTATTATTATTATTATTATTATTATTATTATTATTATTATTATTATTATTATTATTATTATT